TTATTATTTTATTATTTTTATTTATTTATCTATTTTTTATTTTATTCTAGTTTTTATTTTTATTTATTTATTATTCATTATTTTATTATTTATTTTTATTTTTTATTTTATTTATTATTTATTTTCTAATTCTGTATATATGATTTGCAATCACATTTCAGTAAAACCCCATTTACAATATAGACCAATTGTTTGGAGGAATCCTCTAGATTTTGAAGAATTATATAAAAATTGAATGTTGCATGCCTTTTTTCAAAACTAATTTACTTGCACACTTTGAACTAGAGGGACTTTCTCTTCCAGAAGGATTTTATCATATTTTCACTAATAATAATAAAATTAACTCATAACTGAATAAAGTTTCCATAGAATTTTAGTTCTTTTTGTCTAATTTATTTTGGTGGTTAATGGTAATTCTAGAGGATTTAAAATTTAAGGTAATCCCCTCTCTAAAAAAATGGATGCCATACAATAATAGGTTATATGGTTCAAGAATCTTAGTAGGAGTTAATTAAACTAAATAAAGCATGAAACTTACTAATTATAAAATCCAGAGGTGGACTCAAACATTATGACCTATATATATATATATATACAGAACACTGATGCCAGAGAAAATGGACATGTTTTATCATGTCTCAAAAAAGTGATGTTAAAGAAAGTCTCGATTGTTTTTATTTGAATCATACATTATTCTTGTATTTTTCTTGTTTATTATAATATAATATTTAGTTATGTTATTCATTTACAGTATTTAATATACGTATTTTATAATTTTTTGTACATGTTTATCTATCTTTAGTCGTGATATACAATGATTTTTCTTCTTTTTTTCTTTCTTTCTTTTTTATTTTAAAACAATTGTTGTTTCGCAAGTGAAATTTCTGACTAAGATTTATATATATTAAGAACATTTAATGTATTGTATTTGTTAGATTAATTATATAGTGGCATGGATAATTTTAATCTATTTATATTTTATATCCAAGTGTAACATTTATTTCTCTGTTGTTGTTTTTATGAAAGTGGTCGTAATTAGAGGAAAGCATTTTTGTAATGCTTATTTTGTTTATCTTTGACTAGTAGCTCACTATCACTGATTTTTTTATCTATTATTATTTATATTCAAAAGATTCTTTAACAACATTTAGTATGCAATTTATTTCTTTACATTTTCTTATTTATTAATTGCAAAGTAACGTAATTCCAATTTTACTGAAAACACGTTCCCAGTTATAACATTATTTTGTTTCATTTTTTACTACTAGTCAATTTGTTTTATCTTTCAATTTTTTTTAAACAACAGCAATAATAATAATAGAATTTTCTCTTATACTTTATATAATAATTTATACTTTGTTGTAATATATTGTACATTAATGACGAACTGTTTACCCTGACATCCAGTGTATGTTCTGTGTTTAGGTGGCAGTGGGTAGAAGTAGTACCTTTGTTACTTGGCTGCTGCTCTTATTATTAAGATGGACGGGCAACACTAGTCTTCACTGATCCCCTAAATCTCCACATGCCAAACCCTGTAAACCGCTTCAGCAGGCGGGCTAAATCACCATCGAAAGGCACTGCATTCTTCTATGCACTGGTAGTACTGGAGAGGCATAACTCTGTGTTGTTCATTGTATTCGTGGCAAATATTTGCACCAACTTCTTGTTATCAGCACTTCCAATAAGTGTGGCTGGTTCTACACAAGCTTTCACCACTCTAAACAAATCTTTTGTGTGAAGTTCAGTTCTGTGTTCCTTCTTTGCTATTCCACCAGAGCTACAAGTCCACTGACGAGAGAATTAAGGCAAGGGGGACAGATACAGGATAGTACTGGAAGTCTTTAGCTGGCACTCCCACAGTGGCAACCAACAGGTGATGGCTGTTCTTGCACAAAACCTTGAGCAATTGTGCTGTTGTAAGAACTCTCCAAGGCAACGATTCTTCTCCAGACTGTAAAATGGCCCAGATCGCTGATGCATTAAGCAAGCACAATATCAACATTGCTGCTCTTAGTGAGACTCATTTTGCAGGCACCTTTCAACTTGAGGAATTCAGTGCAGGATATACCCTTTTCTGGATTGGCAAAAGCAAAGAAGATCCCCACCTATCAGGTGTAGGCTTTGCCATAAAATCAGACATTGCTAAATCCCTGTCATCTCTTCTGAAAGGAATAAATAATCACATTATGACTCTAGTCTTAGACCTCGACAACAATTCTTCTGCCACTCTTGTGAGCTGTTACGCCCCAACCCTGAACACTGCTGCATCAGAAATTGATGACTTTTATGATCAACTACATACAGTCATTTCCAAAGTTCCATATAGAGACAAACTTGTTATTATGGGCGACTTTAATGCAAGGATTGGTGCTGACCATAAGACATGGCCTGGTGTCTTTGGCACTCATTAGATTGGGAGTATGAATTCTAATGGGCTACGACTACTTTGTCTCTGCCAAGAATTCAATCTCACCATCGCCAACATGTTATCAGCAGTTCAATCATCACAAAATGACTTGGATGCATCCCAGAACCAAAGATTGGCATATGATTGATTACATTATCACCAAGAAATGTGACACGAAAGACTTCAATATCATTCGTTCTTTCTACAACACTTGTTATCTTTCAGACCATGTTCTACTACGCAGCAAAGCATCCTTTTGATTCGTACACAAGAAACATCTTGTTAGTACGGTTCCTAAACGAATCAATATCTCACCCCTGAATTCTGGTGTTAAAAAAAAAAAGAATTCTCTGACACACTGGATTCGAGGCTGGATTCAGTTGTGATCTAAGAAGACATTGAATCCTCCTGGAAATCTCTCAGAGATGCCATTCATTCCAGCTCCCTTGAAGTTCTACAGCTTCTCATAAGGAAGCATCAGGACTATTTTGATGTAAATGATACTCACATTCATTGTCTCATCAAGAAGATGCATGATTTGCACAAAATATTCTTAAACAACAAACATTATCCATCAAAAAAGCATATATATAAATAATGTAAGCAGGAAGTGCAAAATGCTCTCAGAAAAATGAAAGAATCCTGGTGGTCTGTTAAGGCTGTGGAAATCCAGGCGGCAACTGACAGAAAAGATTCCAAAGCATTCTATGAAGGCCTTAAAAAGGTGTACAGCCCACAAGGAAATAGAATTTCACCTGTTATGTCATCTGACGGCAACACACTGCACACAGACAAGAAGGAAATTATATCACAATGGAAAGAACACTTTGAAAGTGTCCTTAATTCCACCTCTGCCATCGATGACAATGTCATTTCTTCAATTAATCAGTGACCAGAATTATTCCAGCTGTCTTTTGAGCCATGCTTAAAGGAAATCCAGGATTCTATCAAGTAATTGTCCTCAAACAAAGCTTCTGGAAAAGATGCTATTCCCCCCACCAAATTTTTAAATATGGTGGGAAGACTATAGTTAAGAAACTACTTGAGCTTTTTAAGTCATATGGAAGATTGGTTCTGTTCCACAGGAGTACAAAGATGCTTGTATAAAACATCCATTCAAGAACAAAGGCAAAAAGGTTGTATGTGATAATTCCTGTGGCATTGCACTTCTAAGTATCACTGGCAAAATTATTGCTCATGTTATTCTCAACAGAATAATCAAATATCTCATTGACGACATCTATCCCGAATCTCAGTGTGGTTTTTGTTCAGGTCATGGAACCATTGATATGATTTTTTTCACTTTGTCAGGTTGCTGAGAAAGTTTGCCAGAAGAACAATAAACTCTATACTATCTTTATTGATCTGACCAAAGCGTTTGACACTGTAAACAGAAGTGTCCTCTGGAAAGTGCTCAAAAAGCTTGGCTTACCTGAAAGTATGCTAAATGTCATCATTTCATTTCACGAAGGAACGAAAGCATCTGTTCTATCTAATGGAGAGTTTTCAGAAACCTTTGATGTAACAAATGGCACAAAACAAGGATGTGTCATGGCTCCTGTTCTTTTCATTCACTTCTTTTCAGTCATGCTGCACCATGCTTTTAGTGATCTTGACATGGGTGTGAAATTTAAATTCTGCACAATTGGCAGCCTCTTTAACCATCAGCATTTTAAATTAAAATCACTGAGCACCTGATGAAATGTTAAAAAAATTTTTTAACGTTGAAACAAGATGTACTGTTTTGTAGTGGGTATGTGCATATTCTAATATAATACCACATTATAAATAAATATTTAATGCTCTACTTTTGTATTGAGCCATTTTAAATTAATGTTTTGAACACTGAAATCTTACTCTTCATTCTTTTACATTTGGAGATATATATATATAAATACAAATATAAAAGTGAACATTGAAGTTAACACTCAGATGTGACAGGCCTGATGATTGTGTCTAGCATGAAACAGCCTGTTGCCTCCGAGTGTTGACTTCAATGATCACTTTTATATTTATATTTACATATGCTCTATCTCTGATATTGAGCACTTTATCCCATAAATATAGTGCACCTTAAAACTATATTTCTTCATATATATATACACACACACAAACACACACACGCACATATATGCTAAGAATAAAAACAACAGGATTTTCCCAACTATATTCCAACAAAAAGAGCCTATGTTGTAATAACATTAAACGCACCAATCCATTCACTAATTCAGTCACTAACATTACTTTCAAAACCTACCACAACAAAAAATAAAAGTATGCCTTTTAAACTGTTCAATTGTCTTGTCTTTGTTCAGCCACAACTCAATTTGGGAAGTCATTGAATTACCCACAGTAGTGACACTGTGGGAATAGGCCAGAGAGTAACTCCAATACTTCAGCTATATATGATCACACAATTTAAAATATTTGACAAAAATAAATTCTCCCTGTTGAAATTCACTACTGTGTGAATTTCAAAGTTTATCATTAAACTGAAATTGAACAAGAGGTAAAATCCTTCAAAAAAAAAAAGTCTACTTAAAAAAAATCAGACTAATTCATAGGTGATGATTTTGAAGTGGACACTTACCTTACACCAGAAAATAGGTTTTTCTCCAAGACAGGACATCACGGTGACAGTTTCGTTTTCCTGAGATTGTTTGAGTGCCCAAGAAATACTGAAGTGGGTGTTGTTCAGCTGAACAACAGTAACAGCTCTGGGCCTTTCAGGTGCTGGAAATCAAATGTTTGAATTTTCTTCAATAACATAAATGAACACTCTTTATTATTGAACAATATTGCAAACAAACAATTGTAAAATTGATTTAACAATGACAATAAGCTGACTGTACATGCCTGCTTGTCAAAGTTTAACAAATAAAAAACTGAAACTGTTTTGCAATGTGTCAGACATTTGGATTTTTATTCAACAGTTAAGTGTGTGTGATATTATGAAGCTTGAGGCAACAGAAATGTCAATCTACAGAAGGATGCTGAGAATGTTATGAATTGAACATGTGAGTAACAACAAAGTTTTGAAGAAAGTGGAAACAAATGGACATTTATACTTAGAATCAGAAAGAAACAATTGAATTTTCTAGGGCACATAATGAGGAAAGATGGCTTGGAGTATTCAACACTCACAGGACATATTGAAGGCAAGAGGAACAGAGGAAAGCAGTGAATAAGCTCCCTAATGAGCTTGTGTAAATGGTTGGCAGAACACCTGTAATAGAAGTGACAGTGACTTACCAGGAGCAAAGCGAATTCGCTGCCTCGCGTGCCGAACCATTCTCTGAAAGTCGGTTGCGTGTGCGTCTACTGCCATTTTTATGCAGCAGACTTATTTGCATAAGAGAACCACGCTACCGATTAAAAACCCGGCGAGTGGACGTGGGAGGCCACTGCTCTTCTAGTCTTCGGCGAGACTAGACGGATTGCAGACAGAAAGCGACAGCAATTTCTGGACATACGACAACACCAATTAAGAGGGATTACAAAAAGACAAATCATATTAAGAGCTACAAAAGATCAGAAAGTGTGGAGAGCCGTTACTGCTCATGTTCTGAAGTGTGCATGAATTCCAAAGCCAAAAGATTAGCACTGAAAGGTAAATCAGTCTAATTTTTTGCAATAATAATTAATGCACATGTGCACACTGACACATTATATATACATACACTAACATATACTGATCCATTGGAAGCTTTTTTTTCACCCACAGTTAGACAATGTGACAGAAGTTTTGGGTAGTGCAATGGCTATCAGCACAGAAAGTGAAATTAGCAAGCCGAGTTCAAATTCCAAGCTAGCATGTGAGATTCACTTTCACACAGTTGGGAAAGGCATGAATCTGCCCCTTCTCTCCCCTGCAGATCTGGTTAAGTAGCCCACTAGCCTTGGATATATCACAATGGAAAGTGTCCTTAATTCCACCTCTGCCATCGATGACAACGTCATTTCTTCAATGAAAACACTGAATTCCAAACCATAAAGCAACAGGAAACCCCTCCACTATATTTCCCAAGTATGTAAGTCAATTCACAGATAATAAAGAAAAGGAATGTATGAAGAGTTATGGTCCCATATGTCCTGAATGGATTAGGCATTTAAAAAAATGTGTGATGCTGGTAGACATTCATACAATAAAATTGTTTCATTGTTACGATTGCATGCTTTGAAATGCATATAAATACATACACTGACATGGAAGATATCTTTATTATTATAAAACTCTGTGAACGTTGCTTGTGTGTTTGCCAGAAGTTATATATAGAGAGTGGGTGAAGGAAAGATTATGAAAGTAAATTTATTATCATGTAGGAAGTGGGTAGAGAAGAAAATTGTGTGTATTCATCTCAGATCGTGACTTAATTTAACATCCTGATTGTGGACATAAATGGTTACATTTATGTTGGCTTTTCTCCTCTCTCTCTTTCCACCTCTTTCTCTCTCTTTTCACTTCTCTCTTTCCACCTCTGAGATTTCAAGCATGCTTATTTATATTTCAGCTTTCTTTAAACAAACAATATTTTAAATATTTAGAAAATATTTATGCCATATTTAAAAAAATATTTTCAAGTGAATATGATTTTAAAATATTTTTTGGCATATTAAAAATATATTTTTAGGTTAATGTGATTTAAAAAATATTTTAAGTGAATAAGATTTAAAAATATGAGTTGTTTATACAGTAAGTATTTTTTATTTCAACTTTCTTTAAACAGACAATATTTTAATATTGAAATCAACTTCAATGTTTTCTAACCTGAACTGTCACTGACCCAACAGGTCACAGGTAGTCTAGTTATATATAAATCTATATATCAGACAAATAGTGAGTAATAGACAAAAAAAGGAAAAATATTGTGATATTAAGCATTTTGTCCCTTTAAAGTGATGGATTGTATATGTGAGTTCCATTTGAGGTCTGGAGTGAACTTGAGACTGAATAGACATTCAAAACATGGAGCTCATTGAGAGTGAAATCATTATGACTGGAGAAAACTTGAGATATAATTGGTGATGATGAAATGATATTAGCTTACTTTTTGACACATTGAAAATTTCCCCATTGAGCTGTTAGAGCTTGGTCAGAGGAGAGATCAGCTGCAAGGCTTTGATCATCTTGATATTTTTAAGTGCTTACATAAACTTGGGATAATCTCTTCACAAATATTCCTAGGCAAATTGATTATAAAAAGCAGAAAAAGGCTAGAACCAGAGAGAGAGAGAGAGCCTTGAGGGATGCCTGCATTGATCTCATGGGCTGCAGAAGACTGGCCATTTACAAAGATCTTCATAGACTTAGATGTGTGAAAGGACTTGATTGCATAGATTCTTCCATAGCTGAAGAATTTGTGCAGATAGCCCCTATGCCCCAGCTTATCAAATGTCTTTGAGATATCTAAGGCAATTGTTCTGGTGATGAAGCTACCATTGAAATTTTCACTGATTCTGTGGGTAATCCCATTTAAAATATCTGCAGTTGACCTATAGGAGTGAAACCCATACTGTTTCTTATCCCAGAGCATGTTTCTGGTAAGGTGATAAACTGTCTCCTTGTTGATAATAGATTCAAAGTGTTTTCTAATAACATGAAGAAGGGATGTTGATGGTACAAAATATTGTAATGGGGATGAATTCTCATCAGTATTCATGAAAACATGGCAAACAGCTGGCAACTTAGAAAAACTTAGAAAACATTTCTCTTTGAGACAATTGTTAAACAACTTTGCCAAGGTTGGAAACAATTCTGGGATAAAGTTCTTAAGTACACTAGCAGGGAAATTTCATCCAGAGCAACAACAGCCATTAATAACAGTAGATAGAGATGCTTTTCCTCTGTTAAGTATCTTCTTTATGATTCTCTAGAAATCACAAGGAACCGAGTCTTTTGTTGTTAATTTTATTTTGAACTCACTGTACATGACTGCTCCTAGCATTCTCCAGACTTTCTTTAGCAATGGTTGTGGTCAGTTCTAAATGTGGCAAGAATTGATGGAAATGCAAATAATGGCTCTGAATACAGCCAATTCAGGTGTTTACATAGGCCAAATGTTTGCTCTTTATTGATATCGTTGAAAGAGATAAAACTATCAAATACAAAAAAGAAATCCATGCATTAAAGTGGTATCACAAGACGTTGGTGCATTAAAAACATAACAATGGTATCACTAGGTTCAGGTGCATCATGGGTTCAATAAATTTAAAATTCAAACAGGAATATTTGATAAATTTAACTGATATGAGAAACTTTTTGTGATAGTTTTTTTTTAGCTGAAATGGAAATACATATAAAAATATAGGACAATACAATGACTAGACAGTGATAGATAAGCAAATAGATTGTGAACAGACTGAAATTTGTGGATACCAAGATACATAGATAATGAGCAACCAGAGAGAGAGAGAGAGAGATAATGAACAATCAGAGAGTGAGAGAAAGATAATGAACAACCAGAGAGAGAGAGAGAGGGGGTGAGATAATAAACAACCAGAGAGTGAGAGAGAGAAATAATGAACAACCAGAGAGAGAGAGAGAGAGAGTGAGGAAAATAATGAACAACCAGTGAGAGAGAAAGGGAAAGATAATGAACAACCAGAGAGAGAGAGTGAGATAATGAACAACAAGAGAGAGAGAGGGATAGGTCATAGTATTTCTTACCTTTTGGTGGGATGTGTATAGTAGTCGCTGGTGAGTATTGATAATCATTTGTTTTAGCTCGAATTTCAAACCAAAGTTCTTTATTCTGTGGCTGATCATTTATTTTGATAAATATTTCTGAAGTTTCAGCCAGAGTTGTTCCATTTTGTTGAACGGTGTAACCTTCCAAAATACCATTCCTTAATGGCTTTGCTATCATCTGTAAAAATTCATTGCATACACAATAATAAAATATTTAAACTGTATTTATTGAAATGAGACATCATTGCAATGCAGGATATTTTCCCTTCGTTCTATTAATCTATTCTAAGCCTTAAGCCTCACTATTTTTCTTTCTTCTTCAATATTTTACATATTTACTATTCATCATCGTCGTCATCATCATCATCATCATCCTCATGTGTACCATAAATGGGTGGGGGTCATAGGATCATTGAACAACTGAGCACCTAACCAGTTCCCTTCATATATTTGGGTTGAAATCCAAAGAGGTATTCATGTGCAGTGTAACTTGGGCAAGTAGATCTGACGGAGCCCATCCCTCTCCAGCTTAAACCACAGCTGATATCCTCCAACCTGGAAGATCAACTTGGTTGCAAACATGTGGTCATTGATTACATTGGCGGGATCCTCCACCCAGGCCATAGACTTCCTCCACCCAGCGACATTGTGTCATCACCACACTGACTGCATATATAGCTATGGAACACAGTTTACCCCATTGTGCTAGATGACCTGACATGAAGGTGCATCCATCCTTTGACAGGTCTTGTCTTCAATTCTGCTAGGTCCCTAGCCACCCTCCTCACCAAAAAAGCCTTGTGGTGGAACCAGGTCAGTCATCGATGACGCAAACATACGGCAAGCAGTACTGGGTTACATGACATCAGGAGCATTTGTAGCATGACCCGACAAATTTATTATCATTAGACTATTTACATTCAGATGTATGCCCTTGTCCTTGTTGTTAATATCACAATGTTTCACCCCTTGTGCACTTTGGCTTTCTTTGGGTGTCTCTTGATCCATCCCACCTTCAGATATCTCATCTTCTTAGTAGAGGTTACTTAGTGCTATTTCTGTGTGTCTAGCCCAGAGGATCAAGGTAATGGTACATGTATTTGAACATTATTTTATCCACCATTTAAATATCTGGGATGAGGAATTATCATTATTTACAATATTTGTATTCAGACTAATGTCCTTATCTTTCTTATTATTATCCCAGCATTTAAAGCATTGTGCCCTCTGATCTTCTACAAGTGTCTGTCTACCTGGGTAACTTTAATGGACTTTTGAACTGAAGACTATTTGATCAATGGAGACAGATTGTTCTCTTTCCGCTGTCTATGTACATTATTTTTCCAATGTCAAAATCCTTATAGTTACTGGTTTTGTTATAGTAATGTTTTTTTTTTATTTGATGGCATATTGCAAAAAAAAAAAATCATTGTTGCTAGACATGATTGGAAAGTCTCAGTGTATTATCATCAGATGAACACTTCCTGGATATTAAGGTTTACCTTCTTTTTAGAAATCAAGGTCGAGCCATAGCAACAGGGACTGATTCTTGGCACTATGTTTTGTTCATTACTCACCTGGTTTTTTCTTTTTCTAAATTGCCTGAATGTGGAGTTATTATTATTTATATTATTTGTATTCAGACTAATTTCCTCATCTTTGTTGTTGTTATTACATTTTGAACTTTTTGCCTTCTGACCTTTTACAGATATCTGTTGACCCATGTCACCTTCTTAGTAGATATCACATAATGCTAATTCTGTTTCCACCACTGTCTAGCCCAGAGGATCAAGGCCTTGGTTCATACATTTGAACTTTATTTTTCCTGTCTAAATTTCTGGTTTGAGGAGATATCATTACTTACAATATTTACACAGTCAGACTAATATCCTCATTTTTGTTGTTGCTATCATGTTTTAGATCTTTTGCCCTCTGGCATTTTGCAGGTGTCTGTTAAACTGGATAACCTTCAGGGAATTTCACACTGAAAACTCTATTTAACACAGATAAGGACATTAGTCCAAAATTATTTAATCTAAACAGAATATACTGGGAAAATAAGTTGTTTTTCATGTTTGATGTCGGCAATAAACATTTATTACAAATTGCTGGAAACATTTTTTATGAAGATTTTTCAATTCTTTTATTGAATTATATTTTCTTTTCTTTTATATTTATTTTAAATGATAATATTTTTAGATTTCAAATTCATCTATGAATTTCTGGACAGAGGAATTACCATTATTTACATTCAGACTAACGTCTGCATCACTGTCATAAAACATTTTGGCCATCTTTGGCCTTCTTCAGGTGAATTAATGAAACTTGACACAAAATCATTACCTGAATTTTGACCTGAAACTTTCATTGTATAATGTTCAATCTGTGTAATTAATGTAATTAAGTGCTAAGTGCATTCACAAGGAAGATCATATTTAAAAATAATTATTTGTTGTATAAAACTTATTGATGTATGATGATGGCTGTTGTCCAATAGAATTGCTAGCTGAATTTTTATCTACAGATTTTCAGTATATACTGTTTAACCAATTGGACCTACAGATGACAGTTGGATTAAGTGCATTGACAATGATGATGATTATGCTGAAAGTATAAATTTGTTAGGTAAAATACCATATATACTTGTGTAACATGCTATCTTGTATATCGTGTGACCCCCAAATTTTACTTATAAAAAAAATGATTTTATCATGTGCCTCATGCATAATGCGATTTCCTTTTTTGAGAGACCAAATTACAATAGACTAACCTGTTTTCCACTATCTCTTTATCCCATCTTCTAGTTAAATATGTTAAAAAAATAAAAAAGAATGATAAAAGTATATACGCATACAGACATAAACAACTGCTCAAGAAACAGCTAAACATCTTACAAATGTAAACAACATAAAAGATGCATATTTGCTATGTTTGTATTTTATAATACGATACTAATATATGAATATTAAATGCATTATTATTGGATGCACTTAAGTAAAACAGCTATATCAAAATCATGTTTACTTTGAATATAGCTGTACTTTTTGACTACAGTAAATGGATATATAGTTTGATCAATGGCATAGCTAATATGCTAATTTTATATCTCATGTATGATGCAACCCCCTTAAAATTAGCTTCAAAATTAGGTCTTCAACAATTGCATGATACACAAGTATATACAGTAAATGTTTTTCAGTTATAAGGCTATGGACTTATTGATAAACCTGTACGGACATCATTATTAATAATAGGGACATTAATATTAATAGGAACATTAATATTAATAAATAAAAATATAAAATAATAATAAATATCATAAATAAAATAAAATAAAACAAATAACATTAAAATTCAGTTTAAAATAAAATCAAATAATAAAAGTTCTCCTACAAGAAAAAAGAAAACCACATATGAAAAAAGCAGTGTGCTTTTAAAATTAATCCTTTGATTAGGTAGTAATTTTTTTAACACTTCCACTGCTGTGGACTTATGTTTTAATGAAGATTACATTGTCTGCTGTTGATGTATATATATATATATATATATATACGTTTTCAAGACACCATGAAATGTTGGTCTTTTGTGATTGTCTTGTAAAATAATTAACACTTAGTGCTATTTCTAAACAAGTATAGATATATAGTAAAGTACAATACAACCTCTTTTGCGACATTTTTATTGTGTTGGTGGTGTCACTTAGTTTAGTTAGTACTCCTCCTTGCCTGCTGTCAACATATGTACATGTTTTCAAGACATACTTATCAGTCTTTATGAAGTGCCTTTGTTAGACATTGACATTTACATTGTGAATACATCACATCACTGATTTCATTTTAAGTGACAACTTTTCTTTTTTTTTTTCACTCTTAGTTCACAAGGCCCAAGGGCCACTCAAAGTAGAACATTACTGAATGAGTTATGTGATATGAATAAAAGTGTAGAAAGTAAAGATTATTATGATTAAGAGGATAGATAATGATTGACAAATGTTGTGAAAAGTTTAAGATTGTAGTGTTTAGGGAGTTTATGCCACAGAGTTCTTGGGGAAGGAAAACTGTCTGGGTGGAACTTCCTCCTTACAGCTGGAATACAAAGGAAATGAAGGTCATTCAACTCTGTGGATGTAGCACTGCAATTCCTAGTTGTAAAGATCTAAACTTGTGGATCTAAAGAATTTTTGCTAAAACTCCAAAAAGCTTCAATGAAAAAGTTCAATAAATTTTTGTATAATCTAGTCCATTTACCCATAATTGAAATATCTGAAGTTTGAACAACAATATGGCTGCATCTTTGTTAGACATGAACATATTTGTTGGGTTATGAATACATCATATCACTGATTCCATTTTAACTGACAACTTTTATCATTCCTTTTCATCAAAGAAATATTTTTCTTATTCTTATGACTTTTAGCATCTTCTGCAAATGTAAATAAATGCTGCCAAAAGTTTTTAAAAGTGCAGTTGCAATGAGATAAATGTAAAAAGATCATTACAAGATTTAGAATTTTGAACATTTTTATATTTAAAAATCAACGATTTCTTAGAAAAAAAAGAAGTAATATTTCAGGATGTGAAATAAATTTTTATCCATTAGATATTCCTGATATTTTGAAATGTCCCCAACAAACCAAAATTAAACAGAATAATAAATAGAATTTTTGAGAAGGCATGAAAACAAAATAACTTACAGCCCAGTAGAAGATGAAACATCTTTTATCGTTTTCTTTACAGGGTAATTCCAAATAGCTTCCATTTGTTGATTTTGGTCCAGCATACGGAGCTTTGAAAGATAAATGTGAAAACATTTTATTTTAGGATTAACTACACTATTAAGATTTCTAAGATTAAATCCTATGTTTATATAACAGATAATAGAAATTTAAAAAATAGTAAATAACAAGGATTTACTTATAGTGGTTTTTCAATAATTTTAATAATTTAGTAAATGTTTATAATTTATGAATAAAAAATAGTTTTCATATTTATTTCTTTATAAATTGGTAAAGGATAAATATTGCATTAGTTTTAATTGTATTTGTTTTTAGAATGTTGTAATATAAAATTAATCTTGTAAATCTAATGAATAAATAGGGTGTAATGTTTTTTTTTGTAAATTCTCAAGAACAAAAAGAATGTGTAAATTCTCTTTCATCATATTTTTAGATTTTATTACAATTGTAATTATTGCTTTTTAAAGCAATAAATATTGGTGAGGAGTGAAGGTAGTTAAAATAATAGCAGTGTCAAAGGAAAAACTGACCTTTTGACACCCTTTTTTTCTCAAATACAAAGGTCTAAGTTTGCTGATTTTTGTTCTCTACTACACTCCCACACACTTTCATGACTCTCTCTCCCCGCCATATATATGTTATGATACACATTTTTTATTTTTTATTCAGTTTTAAAATTTGAATGTTATTTTTCATACAAATTTTATTAGTAAAGTTTTTTTTTAAAACAAAAATAGTGATTTAATATTTAATCATTTAAAATTATTTCTTTGATAATGTTAGGCAACTATAATGTATACAGTGTTATTACAGCCAGTGTAGGTATTTTCAAAATGAAAAACAATTAATTTGCACACAGATATATTCATTCTTATATAGTAGAATTATCTGAAAATTTAAGTACAGCTTCTATAAATAGCAATAAAGAATTTTACACCAAAAAGATTGTACCCAAACTTTGTTCAAAAACTTGGATTCAAAAAGTTTATTCATTTCACTAATAAAAATTCCTTTGCTAAAAAAAGACAAGTGAACATTAAAAACAAAAGCTGATTGTATTTTTGTTGATGATTTTAAAAGGAGGCTAAAATTATCATTTATAAATATAATGATTAAACAAAACATCTTTAAATTATACATGAGTTTTTCAATAATTAGACATGTCATTTGCTCGTTTATAAGGATCAAAGATAGCATCTACTCACCTGATGGCAAAGTTCTTCTTTCAAGAATTAGTTTATCACTCCAGTATATACTTTCATTAAGTTTTGCTTGTATTTCAAAGGTGTATGTCGTGTATGGCACTAAATCCTCAAGTACAATTTCTGTTTCATGGGTTGTAAAATTCTAAGTAAAATTAAACAATAGAAATTAAAAGCTTGCAATTTCAAAACATTCGCAACTGCTTCTGAAATTATTATTTTTATTGAGCAGTCATTAAGTTTTGTATTTAATTAAAAATGTCTTAAAAGTGATTAAGCAACTGAAACAAAAGAAAATTAGTTTTCATTTTACTTTGCGAAATCGCCTTTCTAATCTTTTACTTGAGATGATTTAATAAATGATATTAAATTGTTCTTTCAATTCTTTTTGCTTCTGAAAAGAGGATATTTCTTTCTTTAAATTGCCTCAATTTTCTTTAATCTAATTAAGCTTAAATCTTAATTAAATCAAAATTTCCATTAGTCTATATACCAAGTTTTGTGAAAAATAATCCAGCATTTTTCTAACTTTAGTATTGATTCTTTTATCAAAGTTTTTTCTAGATAGTTTCTTATCTATTTCTTATAGAGTAACACCTATCTCAACTCACCTCAAATTGCCAACAGAACTACTCAATAGCCAACTGATGAGAACACCCCTTGTCTCCAAACAGCAGCCAGGAGATGAACACATTCAAGACTGCTTGCATCAAAGTAGAGAATGAATAAAGCCATATCATGACAAGCTGAACCCAAGACAGCATGCACTGCAGTCAGCAGGTCAACATATCTACACACAGGAACAAAGTACAAAACTGTGGTAACCAGGTGTCATTGTTCAAGCCACAAAAGAGCCAAGATCATCATACCTGGTGAAATATCATAATGGGAGTGTCCAACACAGGAACCGACAATTCCTCAGACCTGCCAGGAGAGAGTCAACTAGATCCGACCTCAACATTGATGGCAACCATCCGTAGACAATACCAAACAGTACACCACACTCACCAAATAACAAGATGAAAACAACACAAAACACCCAGCTGTCAAACAAAACTGCATGACCCTCATCAGTCAAGCACTACACTACACCGTTCAGATACAACAATAAAACCACCACAGAGATTAAACCTCTGAAACAAAAACAAAAAAAAAGGTCTTTATTTCTGGTATTTCATTAAAACACAGGCTGAACTGAAGACTATTAACATTACCTATGTAGTACTAACCAACTAATCTTAAATAAAGAGAGATGTATTACCTAGTAATCCTCTTAATAGAACTCTCCAGAAGTAGGAGCAACTAACTCCCTTAGTAACTAATGGTATTAAGCCTCTTTCTACTGTTGTCTGTCATGGAATAAACATGTGTAGAGATTTGCTTGTCATCTTGTCAGTGTCATAAGGGAACCCCAGAAAACAAAACATGTACCATACCCAACTTAAGTTTTACTTGTAGTTTAATTAGATGATATCAATTGCAACAAAAAGTGAAATTAAAGTTAAACCTTTAATAAAGTATTGTTTTTAAACCTTTCACGCTGTTTGATATTTAATTTTAACTTTAAATGAGTTATTTATTTAATTTTTAATTGCATGTAACTACAGTAGCTACTACCTATTACTTCAAGTTGTTTATGATTTGCCAAGATTGAAAAACAGACTGATGGACGGACACATGTACATTGTGCTTTATTTATATAGATTTTTAAATCTCATTTAATATTGCAGTTACCTCTCTTTGTAATGTATCTTTTTTCTCCCCCTATCCACTAAAATACATTTATTATATATATAAATATGCATGCATATATATAAATATGCATGCATATATATATATATATATATATATATATATATATATATTAATTGCCCTCTGAAAGTTCTCCACTGCCTTAATCGGGTATTGAACTCACACTCTTTGGGTCCTGGAGAACTTTCAGAGGGGAATTAACAGGAGATAACTGATAATTGACATCCATTAAACATGGCACGTGGAACTAGAACAGTCTACTCCAGTGAGCGAAATAAAGTGTTCAGTTCGACATTCCAACCACCTGAAGAAGGCTGGAGTGTACAATGGCCAAAACGTTATAATAAATATGGCAGCAAAGATGAGGACAATAGTCCGAATAATGTAAATAGTGTACATAATAACTCATCTCAGGAATATAGACAGGTATTTTCTCCAACTAATAAAAAAGTATTGAAATCTTTTCTCGGATTAGCCAATTTTTTATAGCAAATTCTTGTCAAAATGTTCTGAAAGAATTGAAATGTTTTATGAGTTGTGAAGGAAGAATAAGAAGCTTGTATGGACAAGTACACTCCAAACAGCCTTCATTAAATTAAAAGAAGATCTACCTAAAAAACCCATGGTCAAGATTTTTGACCCTAAAAAGAATGTTATATTAACCATAGATGAGAGTCGCCAGTCTGTATTGGCAATTTTGTCCCAGGAAGAACACCTGGTGATATCTCTTTTCAGGACATTGATACCAGCTGAATTGAACTATTCTAATATTGAAAAGGAATCACTTGCAAAATTTATGGAGTATGACCAGAATAAGAAAAAATTATTATTAGGAAAATAATTTTTGTTGAGATCCGATCATAAGCCATTAAAATTTATATTCAATCCTAGGAAGGAATTGCCAAAAGTTACATCATCCAGAATATTAAGATGGGCTATGAAGTTAATGGCTTTTGATTATGATATAGAATTGTCCTGACTACAATTTGAAAAGGAACAATATGAAAAGAACATAAAAAAAATTGAGGTTGAATTTTTGTATTGGGTAGAAACAGATGTGTTGCCCATGAATAGATTAGTTATGGAAATGTTACAAGATCCGGTCTTAAGTTGAATTTTATCTAGAATAAGGAACACTAAATAGAATAATTGTTCAAAAGCAGAAAGACCATACAAAGTAACCAGGCACAAAGTGTCAATAGAAAATGGTCTAATTTGTCGTGGGGATTTAGACATACCACCAGAAAAAAAGTAGAAAAGATGTAATTAAATGTGTACATGATGATGTGTATTGTGGGATAACTGCTACACAAAAACAGTTAAAACTCGAAGCATGGTGGCTGGGAGACACCCGAGATGTGGAGAATTCTGTACGCAAATGTCCTAAATGTGGCAAATAAAGAATTTTCGTCGCAATAATTTACACTCTTGGCGTAAGAAAACAGAATTATGGTCTAGAGTTCATATGGATCATGCACGAGTTAGCAAGGTAGGTTTATATCTAATACTCATTGATGGCTTTTCCACCTGGCCTGAAGTTTTCCGAGTTCAGGATAAAAAATCTGTTACTGTAAAACTAATATTATGCATAATATTTGCTACAAAGTGAGTAACAAAAAAAATTAGTAACTAATAATGCTCCTGAATTCTTTGATGAAAGTCTATGCTCGCACTTAAGGAAGATTGGTTTATAAAACACCTCCTTACCACCCTCAATCAAATGGGATTGTTGAACGAATGGTCCAAACAATAGAGATAGGATTGGAAGCATTTTCTTCTCAGCAAGAAATGATTGAAACTTTCCTACCAAGATTATTGTTGAGTTACAGTATGATACCACATGCTGACAGATTAGAGAGCTCATCTGCATTAATGGGCAGACAGATTAGAGCTTCATTAACCATGTCTTACTCTATTAATGAAAACATATGGTACATTAATAAGGAAAATGAGCCAGAAAAGGCAAATTTCATAATGCAAAAAGGATACAACATGGTATTAATATGCAAGAGTTGTAAAAAATATTGTTGCCTATGCAGACAAGTTAACAGCTAGTCAAAATTACGAGGAAGTACAAAACGAAGCTTGTTCAAATGATCATGTAGATGAACAAGAAAGCAAGGCAGAGGAATCAATGGACGATCATAGTTCTTCAGAAAACTCGGAGTATGAAACATGGGACACTGAGAATAAAAGAACTAGATGAAGGTCCCCACATAACAAGAAATACTCATGAAACCAGTGAGAAAGGGAGGGAATGTAGGAGAAGCCGTAGATCCATGCAGGGCATAAAACCCAAAAGATTCAGGGAGCTGTAATGGAATTGGTTTAGCTAATAGGTAATTAGCATAAAGAGAGCTATAACTATAGCTCATGGGCAACTTTGAGGACAGTACATATATCGTATCCAGCCGGAAGTTACTACCAACCACTCAAATGTCTGAAAATGTCACCATGGAAAACAGAACGAATGCTGTTAAATTCCGATGACTCAGCGTTTTCAGAAATCGAAATGCAAAAAGCAAAACAAAATGAAATATAAACATACACAAGTCCTCCTAACTAAAAGTAATGACCAGAAACTAATTTATATATACATGGTGTCCAAATGAAACCTATGTGTACATTCAAAATGTGGAAGGTAATTTTTAGTTGACGACCAAAAGATGTTAACCAGGCAACAATGTTAAACATGGCCGAGACAAAACACAGCCGATTTCTTCCACCAATAACGTGGCCCCAGGGTAGAGCCATGTGCTCCCAGCTCTCACCTTCACCTGGCCAACCCTGGTCGCTGTACATGAAGCAGACACCAGTGAAGCCAGCCGCATCTAATTCATCTAATAATTCCATTTCAATGGATAGCAGCATGTATGATTTCAAATTCTACTTGACCAGCAAATTTCTTAATCTTATCTTCATGTTTAGCTTTCACATTGGACTTGAGATTCTGATAGTATGCAGATGGCTTTTCTTTTATTAAGTGCTTATTCATTTTTTTTACTAAAACATTTGTTTCTTTATTGCATTTTTATTTGATTTAGGGGGCCAACCCTGATCAGTCTGCCATTGATTAAATTAAAACAAAAGTCTCCATAAGTCTATAAACAAAATTGTTTGAAAAACGACCAGATATTTTCAGAGTTTTAATGATGCAGAAAGTGTTTCAGTTAGAAAAACTACTCTTTTATCAAATTTCTTTTTAATAGTCTCTTTTTTTATTAATAATTGCATTTATTCCTGCTTTAGAGGTTTAATCTCTAATTTTGTGTTTCAGTTATCTCCCTTTGTAATGCATATTTCCACCCACTATTTAATTTTTACTATCATTTTGTTTCCATCAATGTGCCATTTCTTTTGAGGCTGCGACAAACATGGTTCTCCACATTATGACACATCATATTCAGAAATATTTAGTGTGAATATTCTTTAAAAGAAGGATTTGAATACATGTTGAGAAATGATATAAAATCTAGGAGTAAATCTAAAATTACAAAAAATTCCACCTTGGTTACAATAGGTAATGTTTATTTCAGTACATGATGGATTACAAGAGATGAAGGAAATTAAGTGAAAGAAATGGAAAGAGTTACCTACCTTTGGAGTTTCGTCCCATTCAGAATTGTAAAATATTCTATACAAGCAAGTGACAGGTGAAGAACATAAAATGCGATCATGATGATTTGTAACATCATATGATAGCTTTAAGCTTTCACTTCTTACTTCAGATAGCTCAAATTTCGTCAGTTTAGCAAGTTTATCTGAAAATATAAGTAATCATTAATAGTTAATGTCCTTTAAGCTTTTAGTTACAGTTGGTTTCAAATATTTTTTTTTAACCATTTTACCCCAAGCAAAGTGATAAAGCCACTAAAATGCAAGGGTTTACTGAGTGTGAAAAAAACATGAGAAAAAGAAAAACATCAGGGAGAAAGAACAATAAAAGAACAGGAATTAAGAAGACAGAAGATAATGAATGACATCGTCTCTCTTTGTGAACGCTGATGCGGTCCTCTTAAGGGCGAACATCTGAAGATCGACTGGACCTCAAATACAGCTGTTCCATCTGCCCCTCTCTGAGCTCCTGCCTTGAACCTTTGACTGGCACTCCCTGACTTCACAATTGAACTACACCAAACAATTCCTGTACAGATGCCAGATTGATAAACAAAATTTGGCTTAGATTTTGAAATCCTCACCTTTGTTAATCTAGTACTGCACTTGAATTCATAAAGTCTAGGTACCAAAGAGAAAGCTAATCAGGACAATTACTGTAAAAAAGGCACAGAGAATCTATGTTATGGTGGTGGGAAAGTAAATAAAGAAAGTGAGAAGCTGAAATTGTTTAGTGAATCAACTTTCCTAACAGCAGATCTAGCAACTGATTCAATATAACCTTTCCATTTCATGTCAATAAAAGTGCAATAAGTCACCCTCCTGGAAGTTAGCATAAGCTATGCTAATGGAAGGGAAAAAAGGTTATATCTAAGATGATTAAAAAGGAAGCAGTTTCATTTTGGAGGCATTAAAATTAACAAGCTACTTCTTGCCCCAAGTTAACAACAGATTGTAGGTTGTTTTTGAGATTAGCTACCAATTTGATCTTATCAAACTAATCACACTTACCATTAAGTGGTAAATAGTTGTGCAATCAGCATAAAAACCAAGTTAAAATGTTTATGAAGAAATTTTTTAAAACTGTTAAATTTAGATTTATAAAATGATGTAATGGAATAACCTGTCACCCCCATGAGTGATTAACTATAGGTAGTAACAACATATAAGTATCTGTAAGTCAACGGACTACAGAGACAAGCTGTGACCTGTTCCAGCTAGACAGTCAAACTCTCTGTCTTTGGGCAGAGAGGAACCTGAACAAGGCTCCGCTGAAGGGCAGAGTCTCATTCGGGGAGGTAGACTGCCCCTGAACCTGTTTATGTGGGTTCAAAAAAGGGAATATTTTTGACCGAACCTTGTGCCACATGCAACCCTCGTGGTGGTGGGTAGCTAAATATTCTAGCTGGGATCTGTTGAATACAACTCAGACTTATGCAAGAACTACCAACCTTCCAACAGTAGCACTCACTACTGGATTGACTTGCAACAACCTTGTGCATAACTGTTACCTTAATTCTTATTGTATTGGTTTTTACAATAAACCTTTACTTATTTTATCCACCTTATTTTTCAAGTATATATTCCTATTAGCATGGGATATAATATAAAACAAGAAAATTAGCCAGAATTAAATGAGTTATTTAATACCAAAATCTAAATATTTTGAACACAATTGTATACCTTCAAGTATAGATAAAAGTGGTCATTTTTTATATGTATTGTTGGTAATTTTACTATAAATATGTATTTTTAAATTTCCTACAGTATGAGTGGCCATGGTTAAATGTAAATAAATGGCAGAACTGCCTAACAAACAGAAATGACAGAATTTGCAATAAACAATAACAAGAAAAGAACAGGGCAAATAATAATATAAAGCAAGCAAACAATATATGCAAAGCAAAGCAACAGTAATATGGCAAAATGTTCACAAACTAAGAATTGGGGTTGATGCACAAAGCAAGTTTGGATAAGTGAATGTAGCATTCTGACTTCAAGACAAGACAGAATGAAACTGAGTCATATAAAACCAAGAACTGGCCCATTTTATTGGCTGGGAAGAAATCCCTGCATGCATTTCTGTGCTTCTGCCTATAAATTGTAGTGAGAAAAGTGTCTTATAGTCATTCCTAATGTAGATAGCAACCAACAGTTTTGTGAGATAACTATTTGCCAATAAATGTAACCCTGACAGGTGCTCACCAACTCTGGTCCTGGTGGACCTGGGAACAACAGTAATTAAGAGGTAGTTCCGCACTCTTCAAAACCACCAATCTCCCAATCAGAGGCCTTGCTGCTGGATGTAGTTTATCATCATATTCAGAACTGCACATTATCAGAAAATATTCTATTAATCAGTTTCAGGCAAAATAAAAACCTCTTTTTACAGAAAATTATTAATAAAATATCCTTACTGAGTAGATACCAATTTAAAATTTAATTAACTTGTAATTTATGGAGAAAGATAAAAATTACACAGTATTTAAAACATATATCAAATAATTCACCTGTGAAGTTTCAGCTTTTAAGCATATATATTTATTAAGTTATTAGAAATTCTATGCTCTTCAAGTAATATATTTTAGAATAGAGTCAAGCATTTTTCTGTTAAATGTTCATATGTATTCATATGTCCAGTACTGCATCCATGTACCAGCTATAAATAAAAGAATGTATCAAGTAATCAATAAGAGTAGCAGTTAGAGTAACAGTCCAAGTTGAAGTCATAAAAAGAGACATTAAGATATCTTCCTGTGTCTAGTCTATTTCCAGGTGACTCTCTAAATGCTACTGGTACAATGTAACCCAGTACTTTCTGCTGTTGGGTCAGGTGATTGGTGACCAAACCACTTCTCCCACCATTCTTTTTGTGTTAGAAGAATGGCTTAACACCTAGCAGAATTAAAAACAAAACCTGTAAAAGGGTGGAAGAACATTCTTGAAGTGTCAATGGCCATTTAGCACAATGGGGTGAACTAGGTTTCATATACAGCCGGTGTGATGATGTCATGGCTTTGCTGAGCAGAAGAATTCCTAGACTGAAATCAACAGCAAGGGTGGAGTTCTATCTGATGGTATCAATGGTCACAAGTCCATGACCAAAGTAGGTTTTCAAGTTGGAGGATATTGGCTATGGTTTGGAACATAATAGAAGAAATACTGACAATATACGGTGTGTGTCCCCCAAAATTGACATCATTTAAAATGTGAATATCTGAGTAACTACATGTCCCAGGCAAACAAAATTAAACAGGCTTCATGTTGAACAATAAAATATTTATTAAAATTCGAACAAGATATTCAAAGGATGTAGATTTTATAACCGATTTCACAAAGCATCACAAATGTTCAATATGCGCACCACTTGTTAGATGACACATGTCAAGTTGGTAGTCTAGCTCCTGTCAAACACCCTGTGGCATGTCTTGAGTAACATTCTCCAGTGCCTCTGTGATTCTTTGCATAAGTTCCTCTAGGCTTGTAAGAAGATGGGGTATACAGAACTGTTGCTTCACAGAAAATAATCACGAGGTGTCAGGTACGGTGAATGTGGTAGCCATTTCAACAGCACATTGTGATTATCACTGGCATACTCCATTCATCTTCCTGGTCAATTCTCTTTGAGACAAGTTTGCAGTCAACTTAGTTTTTACACATTTTGTTAAAATTTGAGGTCATTTGAACAAGAATTGGCTAGGTCATTAGACTAAAAAATGATGGCAATTTTTGTGTTGCGACTCTGTATCATATTGTTCACCTTTTAAGGCATTGCGCTAAAGACCATCTATTATAAGCATTAGTCGGATTATAAACTTACAGAACATTCTCTAGTCACTGCTTAAGTTCCTCTAGGCTTCTAGGAAGAGTTGGTAGATATAGACCTGTTCTTTCACATAGTCCCGTAGAAGCAAATCACAAGATGTCAACTCAGGTAAGTATGGTGGTCATTTCAAAAGCACATCACTGGCACACTCCATCCATCTTCCTGGTAGATTCTCTTTGAGATGAATTCGTACAGTCAACTTAGTTTTTACACATTTTGTTAAAATTTGAGATCATTTGAGCAAGAATTGGCTATGTTATTAGACTATAAACCTTTTTGGGACACTGTATATTGTTTTCCTGTTAACCTGGTAAAGACATTGACAACTCATTTAGATTTTGGCAAAAAGCAATATGAAAAATGTTATGTCTCTATTAAGTATGATATTAGAAAAATAAATAAATATCAAAAGTAAAAAGAAAAAGAAACTTACAAAATGTTTTGTTTGCTATGAATTCCCAATTTTCACTGTGTATAGGGAATCCAGATGTGCTTATCTGTACCTTAAGAACATAGTAATTATATAATTGGCACTCAAATTCACAAACACTGTTGTTACTACAATTCCGCATTTCATTTCCAGCCTCAGATCTGGAAAAGAACAAAACATAGAATGTTAATCCCTTTCTCATGAATTATTATGGGAAAAACGTTTCATTTTCAGACAAATCTTTTATTTATTTTTAATATGGTAACTAAGAAACTGAGGCACCTTGAAGCACCTGAGTGTTGGCGAACAGCTCTACTTGACATATGAGGTGACAATTGGACTTGTTTCAAGTTCAGAAGGGCATAAAAAAAATCAAGATTGATGTATAAAAACACGTGTAGCTTGTTATGTTTTAGATGTGTCTATTCATCCGTGTCTGAAAAAGATACTTTTGGTAAAAATACATATATACGTCTATGCTGGGGAAGGGGTTAATATTTCAATGTTAACCTTTTATAAAAGAAAAAAAAAAAAATTGTAGTACCCATGAAAATATAATTCTTAAGTTAATGACTGAATAAGCTCCTTTGTGAGTTTCACAGCCATAAAATACCTGTAGAAATTCCCCTGTTGCATCATTCAATATTTGAGTTTAAAATAATTAAAATAACAATCATAGGTATGAAGGCAGGTTATTATTTAAAGAAGTAGTGATTTTCCAAGCGTAGCTCAGATGTGGCACAAGGCTGAAAGTATGAGGCACCCAGTGAGGATTGAACTCACTACTCAGTTGTAATATTTCTAGCGAGACAAGCTTGCTAACCATTACACCACCTCGAGGTGCCCAAATGATTTTCCAAGCGTAGCTTAGATGTGGTACAAGGCTGAAACAAGGGGGCACTCAGTGTGGATCGAACTCACTACTCAGTCATAATTGTTCTAGCGAGACAAGCTTGCTAACCATTACACCACCTGGAGGTGCCCCTATTATTTAAAGAAGTAAGAGGGTACAAATGAAATTCACAAGTTTTTCCATTTCACTGAAACAGGTTAAATACATGAGAACAATGTTGCAGCTTCTATTCTTTTCTTCTTTTTTTTCACACTGAAACCAGTGTCTCTATATCTTTCCATCTTTCCTTGGAAAAGTCTGTTATTTATGAGGTATTGGCAGGTCATAATGTATGTGCTAAGGAATTTTAACCCCAAGTAAGGTGATAATGACACTAAGATGCAATAGGTTACTGTCAGTGAAAGAGAACAAGAAGACTAAAGTGAGGAGAAAAAACAATAAAAGATCAGGTTAATGAGTGTGAGAGAATATGAGAAAAAATACTACTAAGATGAGAGAACAATTAAATTAATTTGATGGATACATTTCTTGATGGTTTATCAAACCTTTACAGGTTATTTAAAGCCAGAAAATATTTTTAGATTGTAACAATTTTTTTTCTTTTGGGCAATAACAATGGTTTAGTGATACAAGTCTTACTAATTAACTCATAGCTGGAGGGAGAAGAGGTGGATTCATACCTTTCCCAAGGGTATTTGCATGTAAGTTAATTATTATCATTATAAAAATTTTACAAAATTATTTCAATACATAAATATTGTCTGTCATCAATTTAATTATTATTAATAAAAAGGTTACAAAATTATTTCAATACATAAATATAGTCTACCATCAAGTTAATTATTATTAATAAAAAGGTTAAAAAATTATTTCAGTACATAAATATAGTCTGTCATCAATTTCGTTTTTTTTTTTTTTTCCCGTTTTTAAATTTATCTATTTTTTCTCTTCCCCCACTCAAAGACATTTTGTCCCAATTATTCTCCTTTATTTGATAGTTTAGTAAGAAATCCCAGTTCGAAAGTAAAAAAAAAAAACAGGAAAAAAAATGGAAAATTAAATGTCTTTGGCTACATGCGATAATAAATCCGGGTAACCTTATTTTCAATTTCTTTTTAGAATAGACAATGGGACTTATACTAAGTTAAAACTTAATATGATAGGGTATAGCCAAGTGTGATCCAGGACTCCTTACCTGTTATCTCCCCCCCCAATCCTTCCCTCTGTTTGTGTCGTCTTTTTTTGTGTTATCCGTAATAGGAGTAGGTAGTCTCTTCTACCGCCCAGTCAACACTCCTCCCCCTTCTATTGGACATGAGTCGAGGCTTACACCTTGTTTCTTGTCTAGGAAGAGGTTCCCGGTACTGTTTCTCTCTCCAGCCTCTGTATTAGTGCAGCTCTGTTTCTCCCGTGATGTGTGCAGTCTGTGGCATTACCTCTTCATTCTGAGGGTACACGGTTGACAGTTCTCTGGTTACTGTTTCTGACTGGTAGTTAGGAGCCCTAACTCTTGCGTAGCAACTCGAGCAGCCGCTCTGATCAACAGTTGTATAATACCGGGGTGTTTGTAGTGCCATGTCGCACATGGAAAGGTGTCTCTGCAGTCACCTCCGGTGGGCAGCTCTGAGGCTACATAATGATGCAGGTTGTGCCAACTCCTCTCTGCCCGCGTCACGGTCGAAACTGTCTGTTTCTTTTACTTCGGGCCTTCTCATTTTACAAACAAAATTCAACATGAGTTACAAAAACCGAAAGATTAACCCTAAACCAGCCTCTCAAAAACCACCTAAAACCCTCAACATTTCGTTCTCCAACATTAGGCATTAGGACAATTTTCTGCAGTCTGGAATCTTTCCTCACTGCAAACGGCCCGGATATACTGGCTCTCTGTGAGACAAACCTTGTCTCATCTATCCCCTCTTCTGATCTCTCGATCCCCGGCTATCTTCCTCTCCTCAGAAAAGACTCTCTAACCCACATGCACGGTCTTGGTGTCTACATCAAGGAACATCTCCCTCTGGCCAGAGAGTCCTCTCTCTCAAATCGCCAGACCAGTCATACATGTGTCTCCGACTCTCTCTCCTCAATGTGGTAAGCTATCTCTTCTTCCTTTACCGCTCTCCATCCTCTCAAGACTGTGAGATACTTGATAGCATTTCTGACAGCATAGACAAGGCTCTCTCCTTCCACCCATCTGCTCACATTTTTGTGTTTGGTGACTTTAACGCCCATCACACCTTGTGGCTTAAGAATGCTACTACTGACCACGCAGACATTCAAACGCTCAATTTTTAAATCTCCCATTTCCTTACACATATAGTTAACTTCCCCACTTGTTTTGCCTTCAACCGGGAAGGTAAAGCCTCTCTACTCGACCTGTGCTTTACCTCCATCCCCGAATCCTGCAGCGCCTCACAACTCTGCCCTCTTGGTAACTCTGATCATGCAGTAGTATCAGTTAACATCTCCTTTAACTCCACCCCCTATAAAGAACCTCCTATCACTGGAACTTTGTTCTACTATCAACAAGCTGACTGGGACGCGTTCCGTGATTTCCTCCGCGATGTCCCCTGGGATGGAGTCTTTAAGCTCCCCGTCCAAGAATGTGCTTCTGAGGTCTCTTCCTGGGTTAAAGCTGGAATCGACGCTTTCATCCCATCAAGGAAATATAGGGTCAAGTCGCACTCCTCCCCCTGGTTCTCAGCTGCTTGCTCAGCCGCCATCGCCCATAGGAACCACCCTTCCCCCCATTAGAATATCTGATGCTCAACTTCTCGAGAGCAACTCTATGCGGCTTCTCGGTCTCACGTTGACTGCTGACCTGAGATGGAATAAATACATTGAGTCAATTGCCTCGTCCACTGCAAGGAAAGTTGACTCCCTGAGCCGCGCTAGGAAGTTTTTCTCCCCGGAGTCGATCCTCCAGATCTACAAATCCACAATTCGCCCTTGCATGGAGTATTGCTGCCATATATGGTCTGGTGCTCCTTCTGTTTGCCTCGGGGTTCTTGATAGGCTCCAGAGGTGGATATGCAATGTGGTTGGCCCTGCCCTGGCGTCTCATCTACAGTCACTTTCTCACAGATGCGCCGTCGCCTCCCTCTGTCTGTTCTACAAATACTTTCATGGAAATTGCTCCGAGGAGCTGCATTCGCTGGTTCCCAGACGTCATGAGTTCCAGCGCCTTACGAGGCTGGCATCCCACTCTCACCCCTTCACTGTTGAAACTCCTAAATGTAGCCGTCTCTTCTACTCTAATAGCTTCATGTCTCGCACCTCTCGCCTGTGGAACTCCCTTCTCTTTTCCTGTTTCCCTGTGAGCTATAATCTCCAGCTATTCAAGTGTAATGTCAATCGACATCTCCAGTTGCCTTGATCTATCCACTACCCTCATCCTTTCTTCTATCACTCCTATCTGATCATGCTCTAAATTTTCTGTAACCCCTTGCATCCTAGTGGCTTCCCGCCTTGCTTGGGGTGAAATGCTTAAAAAAAAAAAAAAAAGAAAAAAAGAAAAAGTTAATTATTATTAATAAAAAGGTTACAAAATTATTTCAATACATAAATATAGTCTGTCATCAATTTAATTATTTTTAATAAAAAGGTTACAAAATTATTTCAATACATAAATATAGTCTGTCATCAAGTTAATTATTATTAATACAAAGGTTACAAAATTATTTCAATACATAAATATAGTCTATCAAGTTAATTATTATTAATAAAAAATTAAGAGAACATCTATTACATATTTTCTTTTACAGGTATTTGGCAGGTTGAAGAAAGTCTAATAAGGTTTTTACATATTAATAAATCAATATTGTTACCTTGAGATTTTAATGTAGTCAAGTTTTCTAAAATGTTGCAGTGTGAATTTCACCACCATATGACAAATTTGGTCATTTAAGGAAAAAATTTGTGCTCTAGCTGATACAATTACAGGTAGAACTGAAAAATAAATTTGGAAAATAAAATTATTTTGCTTAATCAAATTTTGGTATAACAGTTGCTTTTATTTTCAACATTGTCTGTGTTGTCTGTTCTGGATGTGAGTCATTATGATTTTCTACAAATGCCTTTTACATTGTGTCTAGCCTAATGGATATCAATGCAGAAAGTGGATTTGATTGATTGTTTTTTTATGGTTTATCAACCTTTCACAGATTATTTAAAGCCAGAAAATATTTTTTTTTTAAATTGTAAGAAGTTTTTGGAGGTAATAATGATTTAGCGATACAAGTCCTACTAATTAACTCATAACTGGAGGGGAGAAAAAGTGGATTCATACCTTTCCCAAGATCATATGCGCTAAAGTGAATATAATGAATCTGACTGAAATTGGAACTCTGCTCTTCGATTTTCAATTCCAAGATATTATCCATTACACCACCTGCACATCCAAGCTTAAAACAACTGGTATTCTCAAGAGATCAGACATCTAGGTACTGATCAGGTAGGACATTGCTTAACATCAGTAAGCCATAGAAAGCAGAATTAGAAAGGAAAGGTAAAATTCCAATCACTTCTGCACAAATGCTTTTGGGAAAGGTATGAATCCATCTCTTCTCCCTTCAGCTATGGGTTAAATAGCAGGGTAAACTGGGCTCTTTTGCCTTCGGTATTAACAGTTAAAGAGGACTACTCAGAATTCAAAATCATGGTGAAGGCATCAGGAAACCATTCTACTATCTTTCCCAAGAAGTCATGGTAATTCACAGATAATAATGTAAAGGAAGCTGTAGAGAGTCATAACCGTCTACATTCTGAAGAGAGAAAGACTACTCGAAATTTAAAACTGTGGAGAAGGCAATGTGAAAACATTCCACCATATTTCACAAGAAGTCATGATAATTTGAAGATAATAACGAAAGAATCTGTGCAAAGCCATCATCCTTCATGACCTGAAGGCCCATAGCATTTTAAAAAAATGAAGTATAACAAAACCCCTTTTTTTCCATTTCCTGGAATATAAGTTGTTATGTGAAGGCAGAAAAGTAAAACTTTGATTCATTGAGGTATCTCTCAAACTTGATATCAATTGGAATGAGTCCTTTGTAATTGGGGGTAGAGAAAGTGCATCAATAAGTCAGATCTTAGTAGAAGTTGGGAGAAAGTCCGTTATTGTTCAGTAGTTGACAGTTTAGAAGTCAGACTTTGGTAGTAGTTGTCATCTTGACGATATATGCAGCATCAATCTGCTGTGTTTTCTTGGTCCTAAGGGTGGAAAATATCTTAAGCAGATGACCGCTTAACTTCTTCACACGATACACTTGGGCGGTTTCTCTGGCAGTCCCCTCTCTTCTTTTGCCTCTCAACTGTTTGTTTATATCCTCTTTGACCAGACTCCCAGACTACTGGCACAAAGCTTGATTTTGGCTAACATCAAAAATCTCTGCATTAATTTTTATTGATTGGTGAAAATTATTTTATTTTCCAGCTTGATTTTGGCTAACATAAAAAATCTTTGTATTAATTTTTATTGATTGGTCAAAATTATTTTATTTTCCAGCATTCCTTTTTTTACATTTTTTTTTATATAGCGGAAGTTATGTGAGGAGCCTCTCTTATTTTAGTAGATTTTTAGTCACAATAATTACGCCCATAGACCAGCAAATTTGCATCATTTTTAGTCTTTTCCTCTTTTTTATTTGAGTGTTGCTTTCTTTTTAGTTGAGAGAAAGAGATAAGGGTTTTAAAGGAAAGTAGATGCTTTATTTTAATTTGAATTCTTTTTTTGTTTATATATTTTATTTTCATATATTACTTTATTTTACATTTGAGTTCACTATAACCTAAAACTTGTTCCAGTATCCATTTACTTAAGCTTGCTAGGTAGGTTATGCATTATTTTCCTCTATCCCTCTTTGCCTTCAATCTATCCTGTGAGTATCAAATTTTCCAAGCCTTCTTTCCTCAGTATGTGCCCTAGAAATTTCAACTGTCTCTTTCTGATGTTAAGTATCCTTTTAGTTTCCATTTTCTTTAAAACTTTGTTATTGCTCACAAGGTTGGCCCATGGTATTCTCAGTATCCTTCTGTAGAACCACATGTCTGTTGCTTCAAGTCTCTTCTTCATCTGTGAGGAGATTATCCATCATTCATTGCTACATAGGAGGATCAATATTACATAACAGAAAAAATAAAAAAAACAAACAAAAAACCACCAATCAATCATAGACATATATGCTACATTTTTCAAACTCTTATCGATTGACTCATATCAGCCAAAATTTCCTGAAAGGGTCTAGAATAAGGGCCAGATGCATCTGCATGCACAAAATTATAAATTTGTACATTTCCTTTATATTTTGATCAAATATGTTTGTGCTTTTTTTTCTTTAAACATCTACTTAAACAACTACACTAAATGTATTCACTTTGATTGGGTAGTGAGGTCTGAATGTTTGGTTCTTTCTTAAAAATCTTTTTAAACACAGTCAACTGTTCTTGTTTCTTCATGTGATTTCTCTTGGGATAGATCGATCATCCAGTGATGCAAAATTATGTATAGCTAGCAGAACATTTCTTTGATATCAATTTCAGGTTTTGGCAGCCAACTTGACATTCCATACAAGCTGCTTTCAGTATCTGTCTATGTTTCTGAGATGAGGTATTATGCACACTATTTACATTATTCGAACTATTGTCCTCATCTTTGTCGCCATATTTATTACAACGTTTTGGCTTTTGTACGCTCCAGCCTTTTTCAGGTGGTTGGAATGTCGAACTGAACCCTTTATTTTGCTTGCTGGGGTAAACTGTTCTAGTTCCATGTGCCATGTTTAATGGATGTCAGTTATCAGTTATCTCCTTTTAATTCCCCTCTCCAAGTTCTCCACTGCCATAATCAGGTATTGAACTCACACTCTTTGGGTCCTGTCACTGGATCTAACCAACGCCTTTATCCACTGTGCCATGTGTCCTCAAGAAAGAAGGCCAGAGGAAACATTGTAATAAATATGGAAAAAAAAAAATGAGGACAATAGTCTGAATAATGTAAATAGTGTAAAATGCTTTCAATTTATTTAAAAAAAAAATTCTCTTCATTATTAAGTAATAAGTTCTTCAATGTTGTTTTTTGCAGGCATATCTGGTTCATGTCTGAGATGCTTACTGAATTTTATGTTGCCTTTTTTAATAGAAACATATGACTACTTATAGCACAAATATATTGCAAACATATTTATTCTTATGCTACACCACTTTATGTAAATTTCAGCATACCTTAGTTTTTTCACTTTTACTTATGTTATAACAAAAATTATAAGGTTATATCTGATAACTAATATATCTATTTATGCCATTCTTTTGCCACACTATTTTATGTATATTTCAATATACCTTATTTTTATTTTTAACTTATACCAAATAAGGTTATATCTTACAAAAAGCCAGAAAGTATTTTTTAGATTTTAAGAAATTGTTTTTGAGATATTAATGGTTTAGTAATAAAAGTTTAACTAATTAACCCATATCTGCGGGGAGAAGAAGTGGATTCATACCTTTTCCAAGGGTATTTGTGCATAAGTGAATATAACAAACCCAATGGGAATTGGAACTTGGCTCTCAAATTAACAATTCCAAGCCATTATCCATTAAACCAGCAACACATCCAGCCTGAGAGATTTCCCAAATAGTCACTCATCTGGGTACTGACCAGATCTGATGTTGGTTAACTTTAATGATTGTATGGGAACGAATGTTATAACATTAATATGGCTGTAATCCTCAGCAGAGAGGAGGAGGAAATTAGACAAAAAAAGAAAGCATAGCTATATGACAAAGACCAAAGATGAAGACGAAGACAGACAGGCAGTATGACAGAAATTCCTCTCTGCAAGAGGATAATATCAGGCGTAAAATGAATGTCAAGGATTTACAGTTCTGTTCTCACAGTACAGATATTACCAACATTTTGGCTGACCCATTCTACACCCTTCTTCTAGTGTACAATTTATGCAGAGAGAGGGTGCTTTCTTCTTGCCAGTGCAAACCAGTATTTATTGTTTAAGTTTCTGCAAAAACCTAAAATCAAAAGAAACGTGGTGCAGAGCTAAAAGCAATATTTGAAAAATGTGAGAAGGCTGATCTTCCTGAATTACTACCTTTAACTCTTATCCTAATGAGGTTGTTGGCCTCAAGAACTTCAATCATTAAAATAAGATCAAGGGAAGAAGCATTGATGAGAAAACATAAATATAAATTTATTACATTAAAGAAACATCATAATCAAAAAGAAAACATAATGCTATTTACATATTAATGTATGGTGTGTAGTTTGGAAGATGGAAAAAGTTGTAGCTGACGGAAGGTACAAAGGTCAATACCCGATCAGTATCGACTGGGTCACTATGGTGAGGGGGTATGATGTTGTAAGACACGAAACCCCTAATGAACCTCGGCTAGAAACATCACTGAAGCATCCAATAGATGTATTTTATGAAATACATGTTAATGCATAAAGATGTTACTTATGTCTTACAGTGTGTCATCCTGGGTATGATGACAAACTACATCCAGCAGCAAGGCCTCTGATCAGGAATTTTTAATTGCTGCTGTTCCCAGATCCACCCTTAACCAGGGTGGTGGTAGCACCTGTTATGATCCCAGCTATAGGCAAATAGTGAACACCCAAACTGAGGTCAAAAAAAAAAATATAAAAATACACTAGAAAAAATTACCATCAATACATTTTTGGAGGGTGGGGTGAACAAAAATCCTAAAGCTCACAAGAAAATTAAATTTTGGCATTAAATGACCCCTAAGGTGTTGAGATGCCATTAAACAAACCAAACCACTCCAAAAACTCTTATAGTGCATTGTTTACCAACCATGAGATTCTGGTGAACAAGACTTCTTTTTATAATTCCAACCAAGCTGCTGACTAACCCATTCACACTGGTTCTCTCAGGCAAAATTTCAGTTGCTAGCTAGAGATTTCTGATTGG